TCCTAAATGCAGATGCAATATATTTTTGTATTTTTTATGAATAAAATTAAACATGCACAAAATGCAAACAATCAGAAAAATTCTACAATAATTCCTAAAATAACCAATAATTAAAGAAAAAATCTAATTTTGGAAATTCTGTAGGAGTAATTCATGTGAGGCAAAAATCACATGCTCACAGGGGCTATAATTCAATAGTTTGGTACATTATTTGCCTTGCATTTTACATGCTTTAATGATAAATTACACTTTATTTGCGCGTAATGGAGTCTATTTTATGTGTAGGTGAATTGGAGATGAAAGTAGAGCAAAAGGGATACTTAAACGTTGAAAGTGTGCTCGAGAACAGTGAAAAGGAGAGACCTGGCGAGGCCAGGCAAAGGCTAGCTTAACCAGGCTTTAGCCTGGCGAGGCCAGCCAAAGGCCAGGCAGAAGCTGGCGTCAGGCTGGCGCTACAAGGCATAGGCCAGGCTGAGGCTGGTGCTGCAAGACAAAGGCCGGGCTGAGGCTGGCGTTAGGCTGGCGACGCCAGGCCTGGGGCCAGGTCAAGTCCGAGTTTTGAAGACTTAATTCGTTTCCCGGCTTGACTAGGATTTGACCTACACTTTTAGGTCTTGTCCTAAACATATAAATAGACCTAAAAATGCCACTTGAAAAGAGTTTTGCGACGGGAGGCAAGGACATCACGTGGACAACTTTTGGAGGAGAAAATCATAGAGTTCTTCATCCCTTTTTTCTTTTCTTTATAATTTGTTTATAAAAAATAGTTGGAAAGTTGTTATATGAACATGAGTGGCTAAAAACTCTACGTTCTAGGGTTGTGGTTGACATGATTATTAACGTTTATTAATTACATCTTCGTTAATTCGAATTATCATCTTGTGGTTGTTTCTCTAATTCTGTGCATAATTGCTTAATTGTCTGGCCAGCAGTTGAGTTCTATTTACTATCTATGCTATGCTTAAGAAATCCGTGTTTAGATTAGAGTAGAATTAGAGAGAGCTTGTTTCTGAACCCGTGGCTCGGGGGAAGATTTCGCGGTTAGGATAGGAATATACCTAACAGTCTTGCTTAATTGAATACCGTATTATATTCGTTCATGATAGACCCAACACCATAAGAATATAGGATTGATATATTGTGCGCAAGCGAGTAGTATTATGGGCACATGCTATTCATATAAACAATCCGGTTAATTAGCAATCATAGATAATCTGGATTAACGAGTGTGATTATTGAACTTAATAGGATTGATAAACCAACCACAACCCTAGAATTTCCATCTCCTCTGAAGTAAAATCTCGTCATACAAAATCGCACTCTTGATAATTTAGTTGTTATTTGTTTAGTTTCCGCAATAGTAGATTAATAGAAAAATATCACTTTTAAATATCTTGGACAATTAATTGATTTTAGTTTACTTAGTTAACGAACAATCTAAGTCTCTGTGGGTTCTACATCCGACTTTCGAGTCAGTTTATTACTTGAGGACCACGTATACTTGCGTGTGTGTTTGGTCCCAACATCATCACACTAATTTATCTACATTTCTGTATATAGTAGCAGAATAAAAGAAATAAAGAAAGAAGCTTGAACCTTTCCTGTTATGCAATTCCGTAATCTCGAAATATTTACCATACAACAGGCGTGTTTTGATATTTTAATACTAGTGAAAGAGAGTTTTATCTTTTTACCTGCTTATTCATGTATTAAAAACTATAGTATTGATTATGCCATGATTTGCTTGCATTAGTTATACATAGTTAGAAAAATACTACTAAGTATTAAATAAGGGATTAATAATATCAAAACTGATAGTGTATATATATATATATTATTTTTTTTAATACATCCTACCAAATGACCGTGAAAGAGATGGAAATACAGGACATTGAAACTTTTTAGTGTTGCAAAGACCATGTTAAAACTCCCAACAACTTTATTGTAGGGTTGTACATACTGAACCGGAAAACCGCACCAAACCGAAAAGTCAAACCAAACCGATTAAAAAATCCGACTAGGTTTGGTTTGATTTGGTTTGGTATTGAGTAAAAAAACCTGAACCAAACCGACATATAAATATATAATGTATATATATATATATATATATATATATATATATATATATNTTCTCTTATGGGTTATAATATTTAATAGAATATAAAGTGCTCCATATTTATTAACCTCAAATAATGGGTTGTATGATCACTTTCTTATCAAATGTTACTGAAATGCGTCAATCATTGTTCTTCCATATTCATATGTCAAGATCTATTAAATTCTTATATATTTTTCGGATTTGAAGTGGTTATTATTATTATTATTATTTATGTATCATACTGATTTTTATGTTTAATTACTAAATTCGGTTAACCTTGAAAGTATATATCAACGAAAAATTATTGTCAGACGATTAAAAAATAACTATCATGTTTTACTAAGAAAATTCTTTCATAAGAATATTTTAATAGATAATATGTTTTTAATTTTTTAAATTTACTAAACATATATTTACATATAAAAAATTTAACAACGTAAGATTCAAATAATATTTAAGTAACAAAAAATTCGAAAAAATCCGAAAAAACCCAAAAACCCCGAACCAATCCAAACCGATATAGTTGGTTTGGTTTGGTTTGATAAAAATCAAACCAACCCGTACACCCCTACTTTACTCTATTTCAAGTTCTAATCTTTAGGTGTCAATCTTTACGACAAATGAGATCTCCATCTGAAAGCAGGTCAAAGATGTGGTCAATTTTCTTTCTTTCTGATGTTGTTTTTACTTATTTTTGTCTGCTCTGTGTTTTAGTCCGAAGTTTCACTATACAGAAATTTCTTTTAAGATGTAGCATCTCTATTTTGCTGAAATTCTATATTTGTGATAGTGCAGGTCGCCTCTCCCACAATGGTGGTAAGTGTTTCGATACTGGAGTAGTAGACTGCAATAACTTTATTACAGAGTAAGCATTTTGTTGAAAGGAAAACTTTAAAATCAATAAGTCTTTAATTGTGCTTTCCTTTCATTACGCCACACAGCTGCAAACCTTTATCCTAAGAAAAAGAATGTGGTTCTCCTATTAATGTCTTCCATTTATCTTTGTAAAACTATGCAGCCTGTCACTGCGCTTTCTCTTTGGATTGGTTTTCCTGATTGCATTAGTTGTGCATAAATGGAGAAGACGACACTTATCTATGTACCAATCAATTGAAGACTTCCTGCAAATCCAGAGCAACCTTGTGCCAATTAAGTACTCCTATTCTGAGACTAAGAAGATGACTAATAAATTCAAGGAAAAACTAGGCGAAGGAGCCTATGGAACTGTCTTTAAAGGAAAGCTCCGTAGTGGTCCTTTTGTTGCAGTGAAGATGATGCACAAATCTATGACTAGTGGGCAAAAAATTTATCAGTGAAGTTTCCACAATTGGAAGGATTCACCGTGTTAATGTTGTGCAGCTCATTGGATTCTGTGTTGAGGGCTCGAAACGTGTTTTGGTATATGAGTTCATGCCTAATGGTTCCTTGGACAAGTACATATTACAGCAAGAAGGAACTATTTCCTTGAGTTACAAACAAATGTTCGATATATCTCTTGGAGTGGCCCGCGGGGTAGAATACCTACATCGGGGCTGTGACATGCAGATCTTACATTTTGATATTAAGCCACATAACATTCTTCTTGACGAAAATTCAGCCCCAAAATATCTGATTTTGGGCTTGCCAAGTTGTATCCAACAGATGATAGTATAGTGAGTCTAACTGCAGCAAGAGGGACAATGAGTTACATGGCTCCTGAGTTGTTTTACAAAAATATTGGAGGAATCTCATACAAAGCTGATGTATACAGTTATGGCATGTTGTTGATGGAAATGGCAGGCAGAAGAAAGAACATGAACCCATTTGCCGACCACTTAAGCCAGACTTACTTGCCTACGTGGGTTTACGACCAATTCAATTCAGGAAATGATATAGAGATACAGGATAACACCAATGAAGAAAGGAGGATGGTAAAGAAGATGATGATTGTGGCATTGTGGTGCATACAGATGAAGCCTGCTGATCGTCCTGCAATGAACAAAGTTGTTGAAATGCTTGAAGGAGATGATGAACTCCTACAGATGCCCCCAAGACCTTTTATAGCTCCCAGCGAGATTAATGCTGGAGATGGTACTGAGACAATAAGAATATCCAGTGACATTCTAGGTTGTTAAGGTTAACTCACCATGTTGTGCAAACCATGGTAAGAAAACCTTAAGGAGAATTCCTGAATGCAAACTTATAGATGAAGGGCTACCATTAAATGCTTCCTGTTCAGTTTGCTGCAAATCCTCAGGCCCAAGCCATTATAATGTAAACTTCACCTTTTAATCGACAGCATGACTACACGAGATGAACCTTAGTTTAGTAAATTGAAGTTGGCCTCGTAATAATGAGGTGCTCACTGCGGGTTGTTGGCTTTTATTTTAAGTCATACTTATATTCTTGAGGAAAGCAAGACAGAAATATCCATAAACTTCTTTTTTGCCAAAATCTTAGATAGGCCCTTAAACTTGGCACCTTTTGTAAAATAAACATATAAACTTATAGAGTAACGAGATAGACACTTAAACTCGTCCAAAGTACTGATCTTATGTTTCTTTGTTTTCCTTAAGTTTCAATCCTTTTTTCTATGTTTTTGGATATTAATCTTATATTGCTTTGTGAATAGGCTGGATGCAAGTATTTTATGTGGTACGATGAGCAAATGCCTGACCAAGCTCGGAGGGTTATTTGGTGTTTAAAAATTACACTTTGGACGAGTTTAAGTGTCTATCTGGTCACCCTATAAGTTTAATGTTTATTTTACAAAAGGTGCCAAGTTTAAGGGCCTATCTAAGATTTTGGCCTTCTTTTTTTCATTGTTTTTGGTGTATGGGCTTGTCTTAATTCCTTCCCAACCTCAACCTTCTTCTAGAAACACGCAAGTCTTGCACGCTGTTTTGTGTAGTAAATTCGCTGGTTGAGAAACTCAGCTATTTAAATTATACTCGGTACAATTTACAACAACCGAATTGATATGGATATATACCAAAGAAGTACTAGCTAGTAGCATTTACATCAGTCTTATTTTGTTCTTTGTTTCTTTCTTTATGGAGAGAAATGTTATACCTCAGATTTACTCAATTCGAACTTGCACCAGATTCAAAACTGCTTCCAAGCTCACTGCTCAAATGGCTTCCCTCTGCAGTTGTCCTCATGTTTGACGAATTCATTGAGCCGAAAGGATTAGGTGGCATGACCGGAATGCCTTCTCCTTCTAGCATTTGAATCACAACTTTCATTGATGGCCTATCCGCTGGATACCACTGAATGCACCAAAGTCCTACAATTGCTAGTTTCTTGATTATGCTGCTGTCATCTTCATTGTCAATTTGGATTTCTATTTCTTCTCCTTTCTCCAGTTGTTTGTACATCCACTCGGGGTAGTAAATCTGACTACTGCTGTTCTCCTCATTTGCAGCATCAAATTTCTTCCTTCCACCAATCATATCAAGCAACAGCATGCCAAAACTATAAATATCTGCTTTGTATGACACATTTCCATAGTTCCTAGAGAACACTTCAGGTGCAATATAGCCAATCGTGCCTCGAGCAGCAGTCATTGACACAGCACTTTGGTCCTTAGAGCACAACTTTGCCAGACCAAAATCCGCAACTTTTGGATTGAAATCTTGGTCTAGCAAGATATTATGAGGCTTAATATCAAAATGTACAATTCTTTGATTGCACCCTTGATGTAAATACTCGATACCTTTGGCGATTCCTACAGCTATTTGTTGCATCTTTTCCCAACCTAGTGATGGCCCTCTTTCATTCCCCGATGATATGATCTTCTGAAGCGTGTCATTTTGTAAATATTCGTACACAAGAGCGCGTCTATATCCATCAGCACAATATCCAACTAAGCGCACAACATTCACATGGTGAATTCTACCTATGCTTCCCACTTCATTAATGAAGTCTTCGCCCTCGCCCTTGAAATTGTTAAGGACCTTAATTGCAACAAGAATTTCATTGGTTAGCTTCCCTTTGTATACTTTTCCATAGCCTCCTTGACCTAGTTTATACTTGAATTGCTCTGTTATCTTCTTAATATCTGCATAACTGTATCTTGTAGGTCTGAGAGCTTTATAATCCTCTAAAAATCTCTCAATCCTTTTCTGATCCTCTTTCTTTATTTTCAATTTGACAATTTTGTACACTAGTAAAATGATTAACGCAAAGGCAAACACACTACCTAGTACACTTGCGACAATAACTTTCTTTGACGGCCCTGTAAAATAAAGATGATAGCATTATTAGCTTGTAGTAATTGTTATTTAGGAAATGATATCAATCTTGATTTATTAAATAACTCTCTTTGATTGCCCTATAAACTTCGTAATTGTAAAAGGTGTACCAATTTATAGCCTGAAAAGGGAAAGCCAATTCTAAAGATATACCTTTGCTAGGATCTTCTGGAATGTCAACGCATTCGGTTTCACTGCCTGAACCGTTGGATTTCAACTTGCAGTACTTTCCATCAGCTTCACAGTTTCTACAAAATGGTTTGGACCAATGCAAATAAATCTGGGTGCGACTATATTCTGGTCGCCCAAAAAATACCTCGTTTGGAACATCTGAAATATTGTACATCTTTGTACAAGAAGATGGAAACTGAGTGATACTATTGTAAGATCGAAAGGCAAGGACGTCATAATGAGGACTGCTAAGGCAATTGATCCGATCAGAAGACGTTGAGTACTTCTTGTTCGAGGAACAATTGAATAAAGTGAAGCCACCATATGAGTTCTGATCAAAACTAAACAGCGAAGCAGATGAGTTTATGTTTGAAATCTGCCTGGGAAGACACGAAGCATTGAGTTCTGATAATCTTATTGTCTGTGACTTGTAATCAATTTCCTGAACAGAAACATTGGCTGATATTGGAATGTCAATGTTCTTGATAGATGCCTGCAATGGAAGCTGGAGCATGAATTGAGTAACGTTGTCTTTGGTACAAGATAATTCGAAACCAGGGTAGCCACAATTGGTTGGCTGACGATTTTTAAGGCGAAAAGGGAACCGAATTACTGGACCGAAATCGCCACATTTTGTTGGCAAGCATTGATCTTGAATTGTTACTACTTGCCCAAGAGCTACTCCCGAGAATATTAGATGCAGAAACAAGTGAATTAGGATTTTGGTCATTCTCATTTCTCTGCTTCTTGGGAAGAGAAGCAACAGTCTCCAACAATGGTTGCTGAGCTGCAAAATAGCTTAGTTGCCAATTGAGAATCAATCTTGTAAGAGTGGTCCCTTTGCAATAAAAACTGATTGTGCTTTAAAATCAACACGCAACATGTATTTAACAAGTTGCTGAGTTGTTGAATCTTTCAATATCTTTGACTATCAAATATGGCGACTAAAATATCAATTCTGCTAATTTATCTTGGAAATGTCATAATCCCACTCTATCATATTAAAAGCAACCTTAGTGGATACGACCAGGGCAATACATTCCTTGACATAATCAATGATTAATCCACTTATTTTTTTCAAATCATTCCACTTAATTATGACAAATAATTAATCCAAGGACGAGGTCATATATGTCACGTCCAGTCAAACCTCCTCATCTTTTGACAACCATTTGCCCCAGGTCTAAAATTTAATTGGACACGCTGGACAGAATGGTCATATCGTTTATCAAAGAACCAAGAAAACTTGATCAGTATATAAAACCACATCAAGAAAAAAGAATATCCACAGAACTATCTTTTTATTTCCACTGTATATTCAATTGAAAACATGTTGACAAGAGGGCTGATTTCCGTTTGTGTTTTTCTACTTGTGATATTCATAACCAGTTCTAAAGCGCAGGATATTTCTCAATGTATCGCTTCTTCCTGCGGCGATATTTCAGAAATAAAATTTCCCTTCCGATTGAGGACTGATCCGGAGCATTGTGGTAGACACGGATATGAGCTCGATTGCCAGAACAATCAAACCGTGTTCAATTACAAGTCCAGAATTTTCTACGTACAGGAAATTAACTACACAAGCTACTCAATAAGGCTACTTGATCCCGGCCTAAAAGATCAGAAAGAAAATTGCACAGTTTTCCCAAATCACAGGGCAAGTTATGATGCCATGACTAGCCAAATCTTTGAATGGGTTCGTGTTAACAATGATATCAACTATGTCAACTGTCTAGCTCCTATCAACTCGTCACAGTATATTCCTACAAGATTTTGTAGCAAAAATACAACGAGTTTTAGCTACCTTGTCATAAGAGAAGTATTGCAAGCTTCGGATTTGGCTGGCGGCTGCAGAGTTGAAACTGTTGCATGGTCCTCTGCTCCAGGCATTTCATCAAACAAGACGTCTACGTTATCAAGCACACATCAAGGCCTGGCGTATGGGTTTGAGCTCTCTTGGAAGCGTAATATGTTATGTAGAAATTGCGACCGGAGTCGTGGTGGCGAGTGCACTATTGAAGAAAACAGCGACAGAGCTACTTGTCGTTATTGGTGCAAAGAAGACATTCACGTTTCGAAACTTACGTTCCGATGCAAAGTCCAGTACTATTCTGGTAATTTATAAAGTTTCACTATACCCAACCTGCCTTGTTCTTTTGTTGGAAAATTTTACTAACTCGATTTTTCTTTGTTTTCTTCTTTCTGACATTTGCAGTTTTTGTATTGTTCTTCGGCGGTATAGGAATAGGTAAGGCTCTACAATTAAGATCCAATCCAACAAATTGTTTTTCAAATAAAACTGCAGATTTTTCTAACTAGGGCTGTTATTTTCTGAAATTGTGCAGGTGGAGTTTTGGCGCTAAGATTTCTACTGGGAATTCCGATCTTGATTGCAGCAGTGGTGTGGCAGTGCAAAAGACGGAATTTGCATACATCCTCCAATGAACAGAACTGTTAAGATTTTTGCCAGTCAAGTTATTGTAACAGAATTTTGTGTATTTTGTTCAAAAAATCTAGGGCAAGGTCAACCTGTGCTGGCGATTAATTGCTAGAATTTTTCTTTCCAGTACCTGTATTATATTTGATATTCTTACCTACTTGATTGTGTATATTTTTTTCTTAAAGTTTTATAAATTTCCTAATTCTTGTAAGTAATTGAACGGATATTTGTGCTTTCTGTCTGTCAAAAATAGAACATGTCATTCGTTAGTTTGTGGATCAAAAGCAACACTCCTTCGTCTCATTTTTTTTTTTGGGTAACACCATTGATCAACTAAATGATTACACCTAGAGAGCACTTTATATCATAATCAAACTGATTACGAATATTAAGCCTCTAAACAAGTAAACTATATTCATTCAAATTATTTGTGGTGATTTCTAAAAATAGTTGTCTTAAATTATTTATCATATTAGAAGTTTAAAACAAAATAAATTATACTTTTCCTATTTTACCTTTAATAGTAATTGTTCTTGAAAGTAGAGATAGCGCATAAATAGAGTAAATACTCAATGAAGAGAGTTCATATCTTAAGATATAAATAAGGGTAAAATAGTCCAATACCCCTACTAATTAATGTTTCTTAGGGGACGTATAAAAGAGAAATACGGTAGATATTTTGAAACGGATAAAATAATTTCTTTGAAGTCTACTTTAAATTTTGCGAACAATATATTGTTTTTTTTTTTTTTTTGTCATCTCCAAAAAGATTTTCGATATTTAGCATTGATTTTTCAAACTAGAGAACGAGGTTATATCCAATCAAAGTTTCCAACTAGTTAACTTGCTCGCGCTCGCGCGATCATATAAACTCATTCCAAGTACAATATAATACCGAAAGTTAAAAAAGTAATACGAACATTAGGAAAGATATATACACATAAAAATAATTTTAAAATAAATAATAAAATACAAAGAAAGTTATTTTAGCGCTCATTATATGAAGAGAAAAATATGTAATGTTAGCACTCCAATTGGCTTTTATGATGAGGCTCCCATGCTGGACTTAAGTCTCAATTCTCATGCATATGAGAGGTTGTGGTCAGCAGCAGGGGTGGATATATGTGTTGTTAGGACCGGAAAAAGTCAGGTGTCATGCGTAAGCTAGAAAAGCAAACGTTCAACGATGATAAATCACACAACAAAGAGAAATCTACCAAAAGAGACACAAACATATTAACGTGGTTCAGTCAACTGGCCTACGTCCACGACGGAGATGAGCAATTCACTATATAAAAGAGAGTACAAATATCGAGAAAACAACCTCTAGAAGAGGCAAACACAAGTGACACACTAACACTTGTCCCGTAAAGTTCTACCCCGAAACACGACTCTCAAACCCCATATGGCTACATTGTGGATGCTGCTGAATGAGAAGGGAGGATCCTCAATTTATAGAAGTCCAAACCTTTTTCTACAAGAAAAGGGACTCGCCAAATATGGGAGATTTATATTTCCTTCTAAGAATAGGAAAACTCAATTATGGTAAACATGTTGTCCTTTCCTTCGTGATATAGGAAAACAAATTATGGTAAGAAAATCAGGACAACACCTAACAATTCTCCCCCTTGGCCTGAATTTTCTGATAAAATAAACTTGATCCACCTTCTTCACATAGCCTTCAACTAGCCACATCTCCAAATCTCCACCGCAAATTTTGTCTCAACGCGCGTAGCAAACTGGTCAAATTTCTCAGACAAAAATCACGATTATCGTCAAATATGTTGCGGCTAGAATTGAACCCGCCAAGATGAACCTGTCTTGAACCTCGCTCTGATACCACTTGTTAGGACCGGAAAAAGTCAGGTGTCATGCGGAAGCCAGCAAAGCAAACGTTCAACGACGATAAATCACACAACAAAGAGAAATCTACCAAAATAGACACAAACATTTTAACGTGGTTCGATCAACTGACCTATGTCCACAACGGAGATGAGCAATCCACTATATAGAAGAGAGTACAAAATATCGAGAAAACAACCTTACGAAGAGGCAAACACAAGTGACACACTAACACTTGTCCCGTAAAGTTCTCCCCCTAAACACGACTCTCAAACCCCATATGGCTATATTGTGGATGCTATTGAATGAGAAGGGAGGATCCTCAATTTATAGAAGTCCAAACCTTTTTCTACAAGAAAAGGGACTCGCCAAATATGGGAGATTTATATTTCCTTCTAAGAATAGGAAAACTCAATTATGGTAAATATGTTGTCCTTTCCTTCGCGATATAGGAAAACAGATTATGGTAAGAAAATCAGGACAACACCTAACATGTGTAACGGATGAGGTGGTACACCACCCGCAAGCTTTAGCCAAGACTATGCAATAATATGTATACATCCATGTATATATAGAAGAAATACATACAAATATTTTAAGTGGCACCCTCAATAACAAAAAGTCTGAAGGTGCCATTGGCAAGGTAGAGTCATTTTCCGCCCAATGGTGGGGGTTCGAATGCAACCCTGGCTCGCCTTTTTTTAAAAGCTTTTGTTTGGTGTATTTAAGACAAGTACAATTAGAAGGTTCTTTGTTTCTTCTTTCTCTTTACTTAATTTCTCTTTTTTGATTATTAGTAGGTCCTATTGACTTTTCTTTGATCTTATTAGTTTATTTTCAATTTTTTCTCCTTTCTTTTCTCTTTAACCATTTAACAAAATAATTTTTTTTAAAAAAATCTTTCGCAAATCTATTTAAAGAAATCCCCATTGTTGCACTTTCCTAACTCCTCCATAAGTTATTAATAGATAATGAAAAATTAATTGTTTCCTCCGGGACCACAACTTTGATAATCTATTTGCAGAAAGCAAAAAAAAAAAATCCTTGAATAAGTTATTATTTTAATCAATGATGAAAATTTATTTTGTTGTCAGGTTGCTCTAAAATACGACAATTGTATATAATATCGAGTGAGTTAATTTTCATAGAAAATATAAATTGAAAAATATCCGTAAACTTATTTTATGTTTAGAGTGCTTATTAGTATAATTTTTTGCCTTAAGTATCTAAATATAAAGTGATAACGAGCCTTTTTTCTTGTACAAAATACATAATCCAATTGAAATTTTATGCTTTTTTCCAAGTTATCATGATTATTACGTAATCTTTTTGCTCGATCGATTTGTTTATATTAACTCCAAAGACGAATAACCCGAACAGAAACCAAAAAGACCAAACCGATTAAATTTATACCCTATTTAGACAATGTAAATTGTAATATAACTATGTTTAAAATTTTTGGCACCCGGAGCCTCTAAATCTTGGATCCGCCTCTGGTCGGCAGGAAAACCGTTCGTAAAGCTCGCATCCTGTTTGTAAAGAATTTCTCTCATAACCCGTGAATAGTGGACATGTGTACCTAAGGAACAAA